ACCTCAACTATGACCATCCCCGGAGGAATGAGTAGGACTTGCCTTGGCTTCAGCGCAATCGCGAAGCCACCAAGGTCTGCCAAGGTGTCTGGCTGCATTCCCGTAAGGCCAGCGTAGACTGTGTTGATCGAATCTGCCGCCAGATGTTTTTGCAGCACTGCAAAGTCCAAGCCAGCCACAAAGCGTACTCCATCCACACAGCAAATGGCCTTTCCCAGTAGGAAATCGGTCAAACCTGTGTTGAAAGTGTTCGGGCATCAATGCCAATGGCCCCAACAAAAAGTTGATTCAAGATTCAAGACATATAGAATTTGATGATTTGATGATGATGTAGTTTGACAGTTTGACAGTACAAGCAAGAGGAGTCCTGCCCTCAAGTTAAGCCCAACGTGACGTGGCGCAACGAAACTACTGTAAACTAAAACTGTATGTAAGTCAATGTCCAGTAGCTCACGCAGCGAAACTTTGCGTTGATTGCCATGTAGCGCAGCGAAAACAATTTGTCCAGTGAGTTGCGACATTCCGGCGAAGCAAGATGAGATTCGATATCTTTGTTGGACGTCAAGGCATCTTGCAACTTCGCCTCCTTCAAGTTAGCCATATGGTTGGCCCAGAAAGATAGTCGCAATATACCTTCATCTTGCTCTGTCCAATTCCGGGTTTTCAGCGTCTCACAGAAGTTTGCTCTTTTTCCTCCGGCCTTGGGATTGACAAACTTGGATCGAAACGTTTGAATTGGCTGCGGTTGCTTCACGAAATCAGACAGGTCCTTTTGCACGTCATCTGGAATCTTGGCGTCAAACCCGTCAAAGAGCAGGGCTGAGTTGAATATCTTGTCTTTGTCGTCCATTCCTGTCATGTCTCATCTCTCACCAAATAAATCAATCTTTGTCGATTATTGAATTGCTAATTTGGCCAACACACACACAATCCTTGCAGAAAATAGATTCTAGGTCTAGATCCTAGACTCAATCGTGTCCACAGGTGGGGGAAAGGACAACAAACTGGTTCACCGCTTGCTCACTCGCACACACACACAGACTCACCACTCATCTTCTTCATCTTACAAGTCATTTGACAATCTACTATGAGATGCTTCAAAACCAAAACTCACCAATGACCTGTCCCGCCTGCCTTCAAGATCAGGCTGACTCGCAGACACCATAAGGATATTGGTGGCCTTCACGTTGCTCAGAATATTCCAACCGTGAAGCTTCTGAGCCACCGTTCCCCCAATTTGATCATTCGCATCCTTGTCGGCATCCTCGCCAGAACTCGAACTGGCATCCTCCTCCTCCGCCTCCTCCTGGTTTTCTTGCTCTGCTTGCAGCTGGTCACCTAGGTTAAGAAATCATTGACTTAAACTACTGTCAAAGTCAAAGCAAAGATCTAAGCATCTTAACTTGGCCTAGTAACATCTGACCCTTGAATGGAACGGAAGCAAAATTTGCCTAAACTCAACTCGACTCGACAGTTCTTGTGACTTGTGAATTCACTGTGCTTGGTCAAGTCACGCTCTTCTTGGAGCTGCTCAATTGCTGAGTCAAGTCCAGCCAAAGTCACTTTGACTGCATTGATGATGTCAGTGACACCCTTTTGGTAAGCTTTTACTGACTTGGAGTCCAAAGCCTCATCGTTTCCAAATGCCTTCTCATATTTGGTCTTGCTGTTTGGACTCTGGCACGTTTGCACCATCTCGTCAAGCACAAGTCCGCGTTCTTCTCGCGACAAGTCTGAGTCTGGTCCGCCGCCAGTGCCGCTGGCAACAGCCCAAGCAGCAACCAGGTAATTGTAAGCAGTCTGCTTGGCTTTCTTCACCTGCAACGCCTCATCGTCCAGCCCACTCAAGTCTGCTTCAATCTCCTCAGCCACTGCCTGCCGCGTCTCTTCTGGGATGTTGGCAAACAAGCGGGTCATTTGCTTGACCGCAAGGTCCAAATTCCTGACTCGGACGGTTCTAACAGACTCGGACTTGGACATCTCTGAAAACCTCAAATTGATTGATGCAGAGACCTCCTACAATCAATTACAAACAAATATATATATAAATATATATATATATGCCTTTACCTTTACTTCTTTCATTTTTCTGCATTTCCTTCGGAATGACCAGACTGAGTCTGGTTCGGTTTAAGGTCTTCGACACCTTCTGCAAGAGGAACTTGGTGCCCAAAAGTCTCCAGCTGCTTGCAGACTTCCGATCCCTGGAATATTGAGGGAGTCGAAAGTCGAAAGTCATAGATATGAATTAGATGGAGATATAGATAGATAGCTAGCTAGATAGATATATATATATAGAGAGATTCATAGATAGATAGATATATAACGATTGATCTACCAATGGGACTGGCTATTGAAGGCACCTTGCTCGAAGGTAACTGGCCCCGAACCCAACTCAGCTGAGGATGACACCAGGTTTGATACAGCTGTCCGGCGGGCCCGCAACGCGGCAATTCTCTGCAAATCGCGCTCTGCATCCCGGTGGCGTACCACCTTCTCTTTCCTGCAAGTTGTCTGGACAGACAGTCAGCTCACCATTCCGTGCTGCTCAAAACGGGCTCCCACACTCGAAGTCAAAATCATAACAGACCAAGGTACCCTGGTGAATTCTCCTGTTCTTTGTCTCTGACTCTAGCTTTAGCCTTGGCTTTCGCTTTGCTGCGGCTTGCCGAACCTGCTGCCATCACAACTGCTCCCTCCATCTCCAAGCACGCAGAGTCAGCAAAATCTTGGAAGCCTGCAAGATAGTCACTCCACAAGAAAGGGCTAAGAGAGTTAACCTGTATGTGTGGGTTTGGCTTGTGGCTGGGTTGAAATTGGATCTGAGCCACAGACATGACTTGTCAAAGATAGATGTGTCTTGGTGCAAAGTCCCGGCTTTCAGACATAATCAATCAGAGGTAGCAACTTAGTCACTAGACTAGAATCACTAGAAGCTCAGAAACTCAGCTTCAAACGCTTGGCCATAGAATGAATGCCTTCGTCCGTGGTGCTCTCAATCTGAGATTTGTTGAGCTCTTGTGAATGGTTGAGCTCCCGCTTCCCAGTTGACCTTATAAGCAGAAGAGGGGAGGAGCACCATGGGAGGAGCTTGAGCTAGTATGTTAGTAAAGCGATATTTGACGATGAATGAACACTGAACACTGAGGTAAGAACTTCACTCGTACAAGGGCAGGCATCGTCAGCCAGCCTTCAGCATCACGCGCTTTTGGTACGGAAGGGTCTTGCAACATAGTTTTCCACCGTGCTAAAGCATCTGACTTCTTGTACCCCCAACGTTCCCGGGCAGCGCGACGAAACTCCCTCACATTCACATAATCCTTTTCCTTTGACATAGCGATGGAATCATGCGTAGATACCTGAGTCTGCTTAGCCACCTACGCAAAAATCATGCCATAACAAGCAATAACAATAACATGCATCAATTTGAAGTCATATTCAAATTCCATTTTCTAAGAAGCTAAGGACATCACCTTTTCGCGGATCTCTACCGGAAAGCGCTTACCACGGCCCAGGTTGTTGCCGCGATTCCGCTGGATTTCGCCATTTTGTTCGGCCTTGCGGTCATGGTCCATTTTCGTTACGAACGAAGTCGGGTCACCAGGTAGTTTGGATGAGTCGTAGGGTGTGCAAACATGATCTGTCTTCTTCAGGAGGGTCCGGTGGTTGGACGCGTGCATCCAAAATGAGCTCTAAAAAACAAACACGTTACACATCCTGCAAATGGCTGACGATATAATGGAAATTGCTTGAGAAAAATATCTAGCCTTGCCTTGCTCATCTTTTTCCAAATGTGGGATTGCTGACTCCGCTTGTACTCTTTGACGACGGCTTGCCGCGCTGAGTTGCATGGTTTGCAAGAGAAAGTCCTTCCGCGCTTTACCATCTCCACAATGGCAAAAGCAGCAGCGCAATGACAGCACCTAATCACATTTGATGGGCAATAAGATCAACTGCATGCAAGCACCGCAAGCTTGGCAAGTGTTGAATCGAAATAAAATCAACTTAGTTTGGCACTTCGACTTTAGTTGGGTCTTCCCCGGCTTCCCGTTGGGATCATTGGACACTGCAGCGTCAGCGTCACCAGACTCACGCGTTGGTTTTGGCGACTTTGGTTTTGGTGAAGGCGTCTTTCTGGCACGCTTGCGCAAGATCTCAAGATTCCTCCTGGATTTTGAAGTTCGCGGGCTGGGGCCGGGGCTCTGAAGTGGATGTGCGCCTGGGCTCTTGACAGGAGTTTGTGGCACCACCGCCGCCGCTGACTCTGACTCTGGCTTTTTAGCTTTGGGAGTCTGAGGGGCCTCAGACCCACCACTGCCTTCACTCGCACTATCTGCGGGAGAAGAAGACAGATCACCGACATGCTCATCCTCAAGTTCCTTTTGTTTGCGCTTCCCAGCTGCTTTAGCTTTCGGCATTGCACCAACGCAATGGATGAAAGACAACAAAGCGCAACAGAACTCAAGCTAGATCGAGTGATGAACTTCAGCGGATTATAGGACATACACAAGTCTAGTAACCCTTGCCACCTGCTCCTCCTGAAACCTGAAACAAGAAAGACTTGGCAAACGTTGAGTTTTAGTTTCAACGGCACAACGTGCAAACACCACAGCTGCCACACTTTCAGACACGGACGAGAGCACAAAGGTTTGTTGGCCAGTGGCTGATGGTCCCAAATGCTACTATACTATTTGTGCTGGCATTGCCACGTCACAATTCATGCACTCAGGCTCCCCAAGGGTTGGAAACACAATGACAGAGTTGCTTTTTTGTTTGTGATGTATACCCACCCGAGGTGTAACATGCTTGAACTTTGACGACGAATATAGTTCGACTTCAAAATCAGACCACCTTGATGTCAGGAGAGCCATCCTGCAGCAGGCAAATAACTTCAGCGAACCCGGTGAACACACCCAGATGGAAAAGATTGAATTGAACTGAACTGCTACAAACAAGATGGCCAGGGATAAGGGATACACTTTTAAATAGTTTGTAACACTTCACTTCTCGTGTGGCCGCAAGCATGTCAGCACTGCAGCTAGCACCATGCCAACAGATGCACAGTGCATCGAATTGCCGACCCGTGCACACAGGGCAACATTGCTCACCGTGTCGACATTCACATTGAATGTGTTCACACGGAGTTGTTTTGCCGTGCTGTCAGTGACCGGCATGCCATGCAACAATGCCAACTCCATGCCAACGAAGAACCTTCCAGACTGCACATGGAGCATTTTGGAACAAGAAGTGGTCAAGGTTGGCATTTTTGTAATGCCTTTTCGAGGGCGTTTCTCTGGATTTTGGGTCAAATCGATCACACACGAATTGGAAAACTTCTTCAAATAATACCGCACCCAATTTTTTTGAGTTTTTGCCAAACTCAGTTGGATATCTGCTTTGCTCATCGGACAGCTGTCGAGCAAAAAGTCGTCAAGAACCAAATTCAGGCGTCCAAGCAAGTCACACGAATCGCTGACGAACCGGCTGAGGCCACTGAATTTCCTCAAAGATGCCATCACACAGTGTGAAGAAAGCCAACTGATTGCTAACTAAATCTGTGCGCATTGGCTGTGAAAAACAATTGTTGACATGGCTCTGGTCCCACATGCAGGATCTGTGCACTGCCAAAGCATACTGTCTTTTGCGCTGGACAGGAAACCCACAATCAGTCGGGTCCAACTGCACCGATTCCACGATGTAGTCACGGCCTGGCTGAACAGGATGGTCTTGCCAAAAGAAAGCAAGATGATTTATGCTTTGCAACCGTGCCAAATATTACCGATGTCCGAAGTCACAGTCACAGAACCCCACCTAAGATTCGCTCCAACTCGCCAATAGGAAAAGAAGGAACATTTTCATGTAGAAATGCCAACGGTTGGGCTTGAAGCACTTGTTTCATCCTTGGAATTGGGCCGAACAGTCTGTTCATAGCAGAAGAATAACACTTGTAACGTGCTCATGCACACATACAAGGAAATGATTCAGTGTGAGAATGCTACGAGGCTCAATGTAATGAAAGCTGGAGCAGCCTCACCAGACTGACCGCAATGTTTACCAAAGTTGCTATAGTCCGGACATGGGGATCCAGCTGCCAAGATGTTTAGCACCTTGCACTGGCCCTGCTGTCGATCATTTGGGTTGAAAACTCTTCTACACTGACAGATGTGACGCAAGCAATGATTGAACTGCTTCAACTCCAATTCGGGTACGCAGATGATGTCCTCCAATTCCCCAAAGTTCATCCTGCCGCAATCACGATTCGGGATTCATGCAGTTGTTTTTCAGGGTCAAATGGGTGTTGGTGGCTAAACTAGTTTAGCCACCACATGGTGGCTTAACTTTATGGTGGCTTAACTTTTTTTGGTGGCTCAATGGTGGCTTAACTGATTCCCTTTTAAATTAGTCTATGGTGGCTCAATGGTGGCTAAACTTAAAGTTAAGCCACCCGTAAGCCACCAGTTAAGCCACCAATGGTGGCTAAACTAGTTTAGCCACCAAACCCCTTATGTGTACCTTTTGTTTTTTTATTTGACTTTGACCACTCTGGTCCTGCGTTGGAACACAAATGTCTTCGTTGAATACTTCTTGGCGTTGACCAACTTCTTCAGCTTCTTCATGGCAAGTGGGGTATTCTCTGTGTCACCCGGTACACCAACCAAGACCATGTCCCTGTCCACAATCTCCCCAATCTTGCAAATGAGCCGACCTTTTGAAGTGAACAATTGGTCAGCTGTTCCCTTCTGTAAGGAAGTTAGAGCATGTTGGACATCAGTGCTGGAAACACTGACTTCGAATTTGATCCCTTCCGCAATTCGATCTCTAACAGCATCAGGGAGAAGATTGAGAATGTCTCCAAAAACGCAACCATCGTCAGAATTTGCTAGCAATAGTTTCTGGCAATGTGAGTTCATGTCGCCAGATGCCCGTTTCACTCCCATTCTGAACCCCATCTCACCACAGATTGCAGCAATGGATTCCACCACTAGCTCCGCTGTGCCATAGCCAGCAAACTCAGAGTGGATGCGCACGTCCTTGAATGTCATTCTTTGATAAGTATTTATATTTGCAAACCAAAAGTGACCCCCCCTACCTATCAACTACGTCGCTGAAAACGGAATTGGTATGAATGCCAAAACTCTTTCCACGCCGTGGTTTGCCCAATGCCAAGACCATGAAATACCAACTGCCGCATGAACTGGAATTTATCTAGAATCTTTTCTGGTATTTCACTCAAGTCATTGATCTGGAGCATCTCCGACTTCACCTCCTTTCTAGTAAGCCTTGGAACTGGATTGGTGGCATCGCTCTGCCTCCTTGGTGAACGCGACCTTGTCTTCTTGGCACCTTGAGCAGGATTGCTCAGCTCGTTATCGTCACTAACAGCCAAGCACGGAAGCCGAAATCGGACTGACATGGCGAACGCTTCAACTTCAGAGACAGGCCCTGAACGGTGGTTTGAGTCAACCCACTGCAGCTCACACTCACACCTCAAAAAGAGCAAAAGTTGAAAAGCTTGCGTCACGTTACATGAGGCTGAGAATGAACCAGAAAAGAAGAACAGGAGTTGACAGGTGCTTTGCTCTGCACATCACACGTCACAGTCACATGATTGCTTAATCTGAGCACTTCAGGCTGACAGTGACAGGGTGCCATAATTTTTCTTTGAGCGCTCCGGTACTTAGTCCTACTCTGTAGGGCGAAGTATGGCTTCTTTGAACGCATCAAAGTACACTAGCAAAATGAGGTCGCTGACAGTTCTCCGTCGCGTCCACAGGTCGTACTGTCCCCAGCCTTGGCAGTGAATGTGCAGTCAGCAGTCAATGTCAAGGTGGAAATCTGTCAAGGTGGAAGAGTAAAGAGTGTTGGTTCTGGTGGTTGAGGAAGGATTTGGAAGGATGAAAGGCTGAAAGGTTTTGCAATTCATGTGGTCATCCGATGATCCGAGGAATCAGGCCACTCAGGCCACGACATTTGAGATTGTCGTGCATCATTTGATCCAGGGCCTGAAGGTTGAAGTTGCAACCGAATTGAAATTGAAAGCAGGTAAGGGTTTTAGTTTGCTGGCATTCTTGTCAGGACAACGCCAATATAATACATTTACGACCGTGTACTGTACGCAGTACAGTTGACTGACTGACTGCAAACAATACATAATACAAACAAAAAATGTCCCGGCCCGGCTCCCTGCTCCCTCCCTCCCTGCCTTCTCAACTTGATTTTGGGGACTCTTCTCACAATGGCTTGGGTCAGTCAAGACCACCGCCAGCCTTTGCAAGATGCTCTGAACACACTCTACTCGTTCTTTGGTTTCGCTTCTATGATAAGAGCGACCAATGTCTGCAGCTTCCTCCAATGCCCGTTGTCCTCAGCACATGAGTATAGAAAAGTGGAGAGGCATGAACACTGCACTCTTTGACAATCTCAAAACTGGCAAGACATAATCAAGCTTAAGGGCCCAATGAATGACTACATGCACCAACGCCAGTGGTTAAAACCTAAACTACACAAAGAGTCAAAAGAGCAGCCCAAAACAAACAAAGCCTCTGTTGGCGTGCAACAAACCCAGCAGTCGGACACGCTCTGCGTCTACAGCATCAGGCTGGGGAGGGGCCGGCTCAGGTGGTGGTAGCTCTGGAACACTGGGCTGAGCCGCTGGAAGGTCCTCATCATCCTCTTCATGAGTCACAGCTGCTGTAGATGAGGATGACGCCGATGCGCGCAATGGCGCAATGTTTCTACAAAGATCTGCCATGGCAGCCAATTCTGGGTTGCTATCATTTTTCCTCGCTTTGAGTTGAACCTGTACAAAAAGGCAATCTTAGTCTGAGTCTGAGTCTTGGGTTTTTTTTGACACTAGCCTTTATCTACTACCGTACTAAACTGACTACGACTACCGGTGACTACCGTTGGCAAAGTTAACTAAGTTAACTAGGATCAGATCAATGATCAAAGATGATCAAAGCAGGAACAACACGTTCTTGCAATACAACCAGCCACCCTGGCTTCTTGTTGGCGGCGCCATCCTGCGTTGCCTGACCTCCAGATCCAGATGCTGTCTCTGGCATTGCTGCCACGGCAGCTGGAGCAGCAGCATCAGCATCGGCATCAGCAGCTGCTGTTGCTGTTCTTCTTCGCTTTGCACGGGCCTGAGGCTGCGAAAGATCAAGTTTCGGGCGAGGGTCAGCTGCCTCATCCTCACCTCAAAGGGCGAGCCAGGGCCAGGGCCAGGGTTGATTTTTTGATACTTCATTAATCAATAATCAATTGGGATGGGTCAGGTCAGGTGCCAGTGCCAGGACATGCCAACTAAGCCATCTGGGCAAATGAACTGTACGGAAGGATGACCGGATGACCGGATGACCTGCCGCGCCTGCAAAGTGGTCTCGTAATGCTTTGTAAACATCTGCCTTCTGTCCAGGCGCAACATATTGTTGCTCTATGTCAAAGCCTGGCTTCGCTGCAAAACAAGCCAACAGAACCTCATAGTAGGCCTTTGATTGGGAGTGCCTAAAGCCGTACTTGTCATCATATGCACCCAATGCATCCAAATGCTTCTGCAGCAATAAAAAGTATTCAAGTGGAGCCCCATTGTTGAAAGCCCGTTCTTCAATAGAAGCTGCATTTGCTCCTTCTACAGCAGACCATCCACAATCCTGCAGATGCTTGCGAAGGAAGAATCGTGACTCGCAGTTCGTTTGCAAGGTCGGCTGGCGCAGGACAGTGTGAAGAGTGACAAATTGTTGAGCTATAAGTCCGTTCTGAGCAAGCGTCCCCATTCTCTCCATCCAAGCAATTGCTGCCGTTCTGCGCTTACTAACAGCTTCAGACGATTGCACAGTTTGTCCGAGCATGATGGCTTCGCTGGCTACGTTCCGAACATCTTGCCTTGCATGTTCAAGAACACGCATAGCGACTGTGACTGCAACATCTCAAAACTAAACAAATTCCCTTCAAACAGGCGGCCACAGGCGAACACTCATTTTCCACATCACCCACCGACTAGAATACACGTTTGAACAAGAATGCAACGATTGACCATTGATAGTATCATAGTAAATTTTGTCCTTTCCTTCAATAATTTAGCAGGTCTCTAGTATCTAGTCCCTAGCAGCCAAAAAAGGGAAACAAAAAAGCATGTTATGTCCCTGGTCCAAGGCCATAGTCAGTCATATGTGCCTTTTGAGACTTTTGAGCAGCAGCAGTAGCAGGATCATTTTACAAGAACATAGTATAACAACAAGGTGGCACTGCACTGGCACTGGCACTAGCAAAGCTGCAGCCTAGAGACACCAAGCCATCTGACAAACACCCCTGCTCGCCGCCAGGGCCAGAGCCACCATTTGCGACTGCGTTTACGTCGACGTCGTCCTCCAAATCTGAGAGCAACTGCTGGAAGGAGGGTTCAGCAAACGCTGGTGTACTGGTGACCTCGGTTACTTCAAGCTGATCCTCACACGACTTGACCTCCGACCAATGTTTGTAGGCTGGGGGCTGGGGTCACGACGCGACGTAAGAAAAAACAAGTAACAAGAGTAACAAGAGATAGTGTTTGATGATAAAGACTTCTTTGGCCATGGCCATGGCACTGTATATTCGTAAAGGTTGTGCAAATCACACGTCTTGCAGAACAGGTCGGCTATGTTGAGCGCTGTAACTGATTGCCTCTGGACTTCAAAAGCATCTGGCGGGCTATCTTGGGCTCCATCGGTCAGTGGTATGGCTGGGCCGCTGAACAGCTCAATGGCAACACAATTTTTCCAAGCCTTAGTAACTTAGTAGGTGGGTCAGGCCTAGGGCCTAGGATTCCAACATTGAAAGTAGGGGTTACAACTACAGGCCGCTACAACACAGGTTGGAACATAGGGGCATAGGCATAGGCATAAGCAAGCATTTGCTCAGCGCAGATCAAGTCACATCAAAGCTCATGTGACACGCCCGCTGCAGGTACATGTTGGAGCTTGGGGATGTGTGCAGCACCCTGAACACGCTCCATTCTCCTTGTCGCATACAACCCTTGAGAGCATACACGCTACCACGCTTGAAGGCGGCCTTGACATGCTCTCTTTGCATTGGCAATTCCTCGTTCAACCCTTCTCCGTCTCCGCCTCCACCTCCAGAAGCCCCAGCTGCACACACTTGCGCCAAGGATTCAGCAAAGCGAGCCTTGTCTGCCTTCTCAAATTCCATCGGATCATGGTTTGCATTCGCCGAAGATTGCAAAAAGGCATCCATCAATTCTGTTTTGCATCCCCAGCTTCCATCATGCAACTCTCCAATAGCTGCCAGAAACTCAGGCAAATCTCGAACAAACTCCGGGTTGACCAAGTCTTGGTTTTGTTTCCTGCGCATAGCTGCACTGAGGCTTCCCGGTAGCTGAAAATTGCGACAGTCGAGTTGTCTCTTTAAAATGGAGTGTCTTCCTTCCAGCCGCTGCATGCTCAAAAGGGCAGTGCTGTAAGCAAAAAGCTCATCGAACATCACATTGTGCATTGGACCTCCTCTTGACCACAGTGCAAAGTGCTCCCTGAATGGGCCGGCAGGATTGAGAAAGCGGAAAGTAATGAGTCCAAGCGCTGCTTTGTTGCTTGTTTTGTCGCGCTTGACAATCAGCAACTTTGCCGCTTGACGGCATAACCTTTCGCAGTCCTCAGCCTAAGGCAACAAAGCGCAGGCACAAACGTCACCCAATCATAATCAATGGACATGATGATGGTGATGATGATGTATGTGTTTCTATCGGTCCGGTCGAAAAGTTGCACTTCGTGAAAGTGGAGTGGAGCATGGTGTTTCGGCAGAAAACAAAGGGTGGGTCGAATTGTTGAATGGCATGGACATGTAAAGAACAAGGTCATGGCGCCCGGCAGCAAAGCAACAGTAGCTTCTGTGGAATGAAACTATTTTCTACTTGGTTAGGATAGCCAAGAAACTTCAGTTGGAGTGTCGAATCTCTCAACATATGGGCGCATGACCATGAGCAAAGACCAAGGAAGGTCATTCCAATAGCTGAAATGTTGCCCAGCTCTGAATGCGATTCTTCCGATGGAGCCTTGGAAATCGTTCATCAGTTTTCGAGCTTGTTCTGGATCTGCGGTTCGCAAAGCAGCCACGGATTCAGTAAGATGGGCCGGAAAGGCATTCGTAATGTTTCTCAACTCGCAAATCGCAGCATCTGCCAGCCCTGACGCAAGCAAGACCCCTGTGCGCCCTATCATTGGGCAAGGTTTTGACGGTTTTGAGCCGCCAACTGGACTATCTTGGCTCCTTCCCAATTCAGTTTTCTTCTTTTCCTTACATCTGCATGGGCAGGAATGAAGTTGGAAAGCAAAGCCCTTCCCCCACTGAGCCAACTGTTGGCACAGCCCAGCCATTGTCCAAAATAGGGTGGCATGCCGTTGATCTGATTGCATGCAGCGGAGCATTTCCCATTCCGCCTTGCTCAGGGAATGCTCAGAGTCAGCTTTCGAAGAGTTCTCGCCCTGCAATAAATCATCTAGCTTGAGAAACTCTAGCGCAGCTCTCCTTGGGACTATCCATTCCAAGGTGTCATAAAGGTAGTGCCACCTGTGCTCTGTGTAGGATGGACATATGTGTTTGAAGTTGGCCGCAAACATGTCCTTGTGTTGTTCCGCCACTGAAGGATTCTGACGGATACAAACATCCCTGAAGCGACTCAACCGGTGATAAGAGCCAAATGCCTTGGCAAAAGCCGTCACTGTTTGCTTGAACCACTGCCATTCGGAGAACGATGCTGGAATCTCTGACATTACCTGTGCGGCGCAAGGTGCAAAGGTTTCAGTTTCAGCCAAGTAGTAAGAACAGTGACAGCGACAGCACTCGTCTATGTTTGCTTGCCACAAAATAAATGAAGGTTGTCGGCGGTTGTCGTCGTCGTCTTGAGTCTGTCGTGAGTCTTGAGTCCGTCCGAAGTGTGACAGTTATAACTATAACATAATTGTATATTGTCGACATTGTCAAGTCAAGTCAAACTTAATAATATAATATGTAGTTTGAATTGACTTGACTTGAAGCTTGAAACTTGAAACTTGAAACTTATCTTCTAGAATCAGAATCAAATCAAATCTAGAATCTGCCTGAATCTAAATCTAATCTAGAATCTAGAATCTAGAATTCTAGAATCTGGATTGAAATGATTTCAATGAAATCAATCTAGAACCTGGAGAGAGAGTTCGCACAGTTCACGTTCACATCAGTAGTAGTTAGTTAGTTCTTCAACAATTCCAATACCCCAGACTCTGACTAGCCCCAGACATCTGACATCTGCAACATAGTCGAGTTACGTGATGTAGTCCGTGGTCCACATCGGAGATAGGAAGCGCCAACGGAAAAAGTCTGCCAGGCACAAAATTGTCATCCTCCGATGGGGAAATGGACGGCATGTTCCACACACCAGCTTCTGCGCCGAAGTCACTCAAAAATGAATAAGTCCGACGGACAGCCACTGTCAAATCACTGGCTTCCATCCCCAACGCTTGCAAGAGGTTCTGTGCTTTGTGTACACTTGATGCTGCCCGAGCCCCAATCACGGACAGTGGAAGAAGGCGCTTGGCAATGGAAAATCTCCCTTCATCAATCTGTTCGCGTACTGACTTGTTGGAGTGGAATGACTGGGCACCCCCCATTCTGCAGTAGTCAGTCTCAACAACCAGATAATCCCTGCCACCCTGCGGGCTGGCATCAGCCCGCAAATGCAAGAACCAGTTGAGTTTGCAATCAAACAAGCGCCGCCTCGCAAAGACACAGCTTGCCATATCCAACTCAGTTCTGCTCCGACAAACAACCGCCGGTGACGGGACAGGAAGCTCTTGATGCATGAAGTGGTTGAACAAGTCTGGGCGCAAAGTCATTTCAAGCGACCTGGGCCCCGGGCAATTGGGAATTGGGACTGTAACCACTGCTACTGCTACACACTGCTACTGTCCGAATCGAAGCCCAAAGCGCGTCAAGTAACTGAGGGGAACCAGAACCAGCTTCCTTGAAAAAACACAGTTTGGGCCCCATTCTCTATGACATGACATGAGGAGGGTTTTCCTCTACTGTAACAGAGTATTGAGTATATAAAAGAGAATCATGAATCATAATTAATATTAATAATCATCATCATAATAATAATGGCACGGGGAAATGTGATGTATATGGCTGGAACCGAATTGAGGTGAGCAGAGGAAACCGACAACTCAGCCTGCCGCCTGCCCCACTGCTGCTGCCCCACTCCCACCCTGAGTCCCTGAGTCACCTGAGGTTGAGACAAGCGACTCAAACAAGGTGGCCTTCATATCATCTGAGGAACGCCTGTCAGTCACCCAGGCTCAGGTCGCAGGCGCGATGGTTTTAGTCTGAGACTGAGAATCACTAACACTGAAGTGAAGTGCTTAACTTCAGCGCCGCTTTGTTAGTCCATCCAAGTTCGAAGTCAATTTGCAGGCAAGGCGCAACCGATCTGCCAGTAGAACACAGCGAAGAATGTAGGTTGGGGAGTATTGGAGTCCACCAGGACGCCGCTTCAGATCAATGGCATTAGAACTGGAACTTGCTGTCAAAAAACGGCTCTGTTGAACTTCAGTGAAGGTGCAAAGTTTGGAGATCTTGGCGCAACGGTCCTGCACCAAGGCCACATTGCCATCTCTCGCGCCCTCAAGAACTTGATTTAAAAGCGCGTCAAGGACCGATGGTTCCCTAGCTCTCGTGGAGGCAACTACCACGGTAGAAGTAGAAGCTGCAGCAGGGCGGCCGATGATGTCCTCCAAGTTGCGGCCAGATGAAATGTGCCTCAATTAATTCAGTGAAAAGTGGCCATGCCAGGCCGCCGCCGGCCAGGCGAACAAACAGGCGAACTAACCACTAGTCACATGGTCCGACGGTGTCAAAAAGAACATGACGCGACTACGCGACGAGTCAACTGTTATATCAGACGAGGTACCGCACGTGGCGACACGTTGCATCAATTGTTTCCCCAGGGATTGGAAACAATTTCAGCAGGTTTGAAAATTGTAAATACTCACCAGCCTTCACTCCAGTCACACAAGTCTCTAAGCACAAGACTTGTGGCTCTGTATCCAGCAACAGCCTAGCATCAGGTGGGCTAACGCTGGAAAGATGACGGAGGGAGAAATTCTCCCGGCCAGGCTTTCGCGTAGTTGGAATCGGTGTAGCAAGGCGGCCCCGAAATTTGAATGAGTCGGCGTTGAGATGCTCACCCCCAGGCTGCCCATCAGGCAAGTAGAAGATGTAAACCTCGTCCTCAGCTCACTGGCTCAGTGATAAGAATTCACAGATGATGAATAATGATGATGGGATGGGATGGGATGGGATGATGAATGATGGATGATGGATGATGGATGATGGATGATGGATGATGGATGATG